TGCTGGCTCGTGTTCAGGCAGCTGTCAACCAACACCCCCAGGTCCTTTTCTACCAGGCAGCTCTCCAGCCACTCCTCCCCAAGCCTGTAGCATTGCATGGGGTTGTGACCGAAGTGCGGGACCCAGCACTGAGCCTTGTTGAATCTCATACAGTTGGCCCCAGCCCAACGATCCAACCTGTCCAGGTCCCTCTGTTTAAGGGGGATGAAACCAGAACAATTGCTAGAAATGCAATAAGGGTCTAGAGTTAGTCCCTTAAAACCCATGTTAACTAACCTATCATTGTGTTCTTTCTATGGATTTTTTTAAACCATTCTATAAAAGTCCATTCCAAGGATATCATTTTCTAGAAAATTGTATTTCATATGACCTATATAAAGTGATCATCCCCTAGTAAGGTCAGCAATAGTTTTCCATAGAGAATGCATTTGATTCAGAACTATGAATAGACTATTTCCATTAGTAAACACTATAAAGCAGAACTGCTTGTTTCATCCAGTACTGTTCTTGTATAAACAGATTTCACTGTAGGAGAAACACACCCAGAAGTATCTACTATGACTTTGTGTCCCTAAATGGACCATGTAGCAAAATCTCATTTTTAATAATGGCATTTATGTTACTTCACCGATGAAATGTATAATAATAACAGCAAAATTGTCATGTTAATGATCAGAGTGGATAATAAGATGCACAATTAGGAGGATTATGGGAATTTAATGGGATGAGAAGGGCAAGAGATCATCTGCTGTATGACTCTTCATGACTGTAACCTGCTGTCCATATCCCTAATGTGTTTTTATGACTTGTGCGTTTTGGTTTGTTTTCCAGTTTGTGTTCTGCCGTGAATGTAAAGAAGAATACCATGAAGGGGAATGCAGCTCTCTCCTCAGCACACAGGGAGCCATGGCCCAGAAGGTAGGGATCCCACAACTCATTACAGCTTGATCATTATCCCTGGCCCAGCTAGAGCAACATTTGTCAAATGGGTCCTAATTATAATTCTAAGTAAAAGCAATTATGTTCATGCTGAATTGCTCCAGCCATCGGAGTTGCCGAATTGGCTTTGCGGTGGATTTCAGTTGCTCTGATAGACAGAGTAGCTGAGTTCCATCAGGAACACACAGGGCTCTGCCACCAGTTGATAAAGAAAAGGCCTTCCTAGTGGGCTTTTGGGGTTGTCTCTATTCAATATGAACACTTTTGAAAGACTTTCTGTAGTCTTGCTGCCTTTCAGCTTATTTTCAGTGCACTAATCAGGAAATCATGTGGGTTTGGACTGAGTAACAGGGTTTTTATACAGCCTATGCAGAAAACGCTGTTGATAATTTATGATTTAGCTTAGAGAAATAAAAAATGGATTGCCTAGGCTGGAAGCTGTTAGATGATAATTATTTTAGGCTGCTCTATAATTTTGTAGCTATTGTAGCTATAGACCTGGACAGGAAATAGTTTTTCTCTCCTGGCATTTCTCTTTGTTTGAGGTTCAAGTTTCCCTGCTCTCCATGGCAAATAAATCACAGTCTTTCCAATTAAAAAAAAAAAAAAAAAAGAGAGAGAGAACACGTAAAAAACAGGAGAGAGATCCCCTAAATATCTCACAGCTTGATGCCCAGGGTGCGCTCCTAGGAAGCAGAAAACTGATATTCAGATATCTGGCATGTTTGATGCAAAGAGGAGACTTGAACCCTGAGCCCACACACAGTCCAACATGGCAGATGCAGGATTGCAGGCAGGTGCTGATGGGGACTTACGTCCAGCCAGCTCTCAGCAAGGCATGCCCAGCTCCTGTCAGTGCCTGCGGGCAGGCTCTGTCTGAGGCTGGCTTTGGGGGCCTCTTGCTATTTGAACGTAGACTGGAACATGTGTACTGTATGAGACCCAAAATCCATCTGCGTTCCCAGCCTCTAGTGATTTGTGATTCAGATGTGGTATTTCGTGTTTAGCAGCTATCAGCAAATTTTTATTCCATAAATTTGTGCAACCCCCTTTTTTGAAGCCATATATACACAAGGAGATTTGCAGCTTAACTAACTACCCCCTCTGAAGAACAATCTCCTTTTGTTTGCAGTAGCTCCTGTTCACATTTATGTAAAAACAAAACACCTTCAAGAGAGACATTGAGAGATACTTAAAGTATCCAATAGCCTCGTAAAGTAAGAGACCAAGGGTCAATGTCTTACCTGAATAGAGCTAGAACCTGACTACATCTCAACATGAACAGTGAGCCCTATATCCATTAAGTTATTTATGCCTAGAGTTTTGCCTAGAGTACTGAAAGTCATCATGGCACCTTACAAATGAGTTCAACAATGTTGGCTCTGTGGAAGCCAGAGTCTGTATAATTTCCATGCTCTAGGGCATGGAAATCAAGGTGTGCAAGGGAAAATCAGAATACCATAGAAAGAAGTGGTTTATTTTAAATATTTGCATATTGCCTCAGCTTCTCCTGATGACAATGGGAGCACTTCGCCCATCTGGTCCAGTATCTCAGCACATGAATTGCACCCAATTAGACCTGTTAACTTAGGAAAGCTGACTACTTTTGCTGTTTCAGTGTAATGTGAATGTTTTTGCTCTTCCTGAAAAATTTCCTGTACTCTCAAAAAGCTGTTCCAGAATAGCTAAATGGTAGTACCAGAATAAGTCTTGCAGCTATGCAAATCAGCTCCCCAGTATAGACAAGACCATAGACTACCCAACTTAGACTGAAGTTACCTGGCTTCGGTCAGCTGCCTTTTCCTCTTAAAAATAAGAGAGCTGCACTAATTAAACTTCTCCACAAGGTGGTGATGTTCCACTGAAGGAATGTTTTCCCTCACTTTCTGTAACCAGGCGAGCAAACCGAGAGGTAGCCGGAACAAGGCAAGCCCAGGTGCTGGTGAGATGTTGGTTTCAGCCGAATAGCATCACTACAAAGCTATCCTCCATGCAACACTCCCGTACAAGACATACAAAACATTTGTGGGGGATATATGGAAAGAAGTGCGTGTGGGACTGTTTTCATCTCTGTCTCACTGAGATTAATTTAAACATTTATTCACCTGTGCTTTCAGACTTTTTGTTCTGTTTGGCCCTTCCCTGCTAGGTGCACAACCTGTGTGTCAGAGTTAACTTGCTTTTATTGTACTGCTTGTTCAGGCAGTGAGGATTGTTTTATCTTTGACCATCATCTGTTTCAAGGTAGGAATAATACACTTCCAGGGTTGTCTTCAGCTCCTGCAGTTTGACTCCTGTCCAGATCCTTTCCATATCATTTATTTTAGAAACAAATCTTATTGTAACAGCTCCCGCAGGGCAGGGCTGTGGGGCGCTGGAGACCAGCCCTGCTGCTGTGTTGCTGGGGCAGGGGCTGACAGCCCCAGGGGCTGATGTGGGGTCCTGGGCAGTGGGTGGGGTGGGGGGATTCCCAGGGGACTGGGCTGGAACAGCAAGGTGTGGTGGTACCTTCAGGGCCTGACACCAATTTGGGAAGCCTTGGAGAAGGAGATGCCTCCGAAAGACAGGTAGAAACTGATACAGAGGCATTCAAGTGTCCATGAAAGCCAAGAGCTTTCAGAGATACAGTGGAAGCTCCAGAAAGAGGAGAAGGAAGAGAGAAGAAAGCAAGCAAGCCTGTGAGATGGCGTGGGACAACAAGGAGGGTCCAGGAAGCAGAAATGGTAGCGGTGAAAGGGCCCTGTGCTAGGCCAGAAGTCAGAAGGAGTAAGGAGGAAGCCTGCGGTCAAGACGGGGGAGTGGAGCTGGTGGGACTGTCAAGGAGGGAGGGGAGCAGGGAAGGGGGAATGCAGTCAGTTGGCAGCAGGAAGGAAGAGGGCAACCGCGGCTGCCGAGCACAAGAGGGACAAAGCAGGTGACACGTGTGGTGCTTAAGGTTATTTGAAATAAAGGGCGCTCGACCTTATAATGGTGGGAGGCTAGAAGGCATTGCTTGCTGTTTGGGGTAGAAAAGGCAAACTCAGCAGCAGGCATGCAGAGAGTAGCCTAGCTTTAAATACTGGTATATCACAGTTTTTCAGATCTATGCACAGATACTGCATGCTCCATTGGGATGGATAAAATGTCCTCTTTCTATTGAAATGTCCATTTTAACCCTGATAGGCCACTGAAAGCTCATCTTAAGCATTTACTGATGCAGGGCTGATTATTTCCCATCTTAGTGTGTAAGTTACATAATTTCAGGGAAAATAAAATGTATCTGTGGCAACTTCAGTTGACAAGCTTTCTTTTAGAACCATTGCAGCCTCTTGGAGCTGTTCGAAGTTTGGGATGAGAGAAGTAATCATATTTGATGGATTAAAAGACACAGTGTGCCTGATGGAATCAATGACACAGTAAAGGTGACTCCAGACAGATTTAGGTTTAGAAATAGCCACATAGTCCCTGCTATGTACACCACAAAACCGAGCTTCCTGGCCCCTTTTAACCTCACCCATAGACAGTCTATGCTGATGGGGAATCTAGCCGTAAACAGCTTCTTCTGTAAATCCCCAGCCTAAAATTACCGTAGCTTTCCTAGCACAAAAACTTTCTAAACAGTTTGTTTTTTACCAGGATAAGTAACGCACCTTCTTGCTCACTAGCAACTGGACAATAAAAAGTGACCACATATTAGATTTGAACATGTATAGAGTATCTCCCAGGACTGTTTTGGTCCAGGGCATGTTGATAAGACACCTGCAAGGTAAACTGTAATAGCAATAGCAATGACACAGACATAAAAGTGGTGCACATGTAAATAAGTGAATAGAATGTGGGGCACAAAGACATAAATGTTTGAAAAAAATGACACGAACTGAATGAAATGGGTTATAAAAAGTATGTTTTGGAGATGGTTCTGTGGACAAACTTTACCCAAGATGGTTTTAGCTGCTGATTATCTGATCCTGCCAAGCCAAGGAATGTGTAATTACAAAAAGGTAACAGCTTTTTAGGCAGTTTGCTTTTTCAGAGGTTGCTGTGAATTTAGTAAAGAGAATAAATTAAACATCATGATAGATTTTTATAGTACAGCTGTACACAAATCCCTCCAATAACCTGTATTCAAAGGCTTGAATATAAAAGAACATCTGATGTCTAATTCGTCATCCCACAAACCCACTCTGGCAGTCTTTAAAAGGTAACAGCTTTTTAGGCAGTTTGCTTTTTCAGAGGTTGCTGTGAATTTAGTAAAGAGAATAAATTAAACATCATGATAGATTTTTATAGTACAGCTGTACACAAATCCCTCCAATAACCTGTATTCAAAGGCTTGAATCTAAAAGAACATCTGATGTCTAATTCGTCATCCCACAAACCCACTCTGGCAGTCTTTGTAGGACCCAGACATAAATCCAGTTCATCTCATTTGAACAAACTCCACTATTAACCCTAGGCCAGCAACAGCTGTAAACCTAAGCCTAGATAAAATGTCCACAGTGGCTTAAGTATTAAAGCTTGCCCTGTGGTCTCTTCTGCTCCACACTCCAACACAAGCTCCTTAAAAATCCTATCAGGCTATATCCAGTCTTAGTCCAAGCCTTAATTCCAGCTAATTCTGGCAACCCTGGCCCTGCAAACCATGCAATCCAGCAAAATCTATCACTAAGCATATATCTTTAGCTGCTGGTGCAGCTAAAAATTGTTACCAATTTCTTGCGCACAGGTTACAGAATGGGTTGTGTGAATTTTCGCCATTTTATTACATTGAAAATCTCATTACCTGCTAAAGGTGTTCATTTCAGACAAGGTTCATTGTATATGCAAAGTAAAAAATTTATTGTTAGTCTCATCAAAGTCTTAGAAAGCTAATCAAAGAATTATTTTTAGTCCATTTACAATAACACTAGGACTTACAGTGCAAATTACATATAGTTAAAATAATGGTTATGCAAACATTCTGATAACACCCATTTCTCTGGTGTTACCTTCCACTGCCT